GTAACTTAATTTATTCTCCCCCACCCCAAAATGTTATCTCCAGTCCCATCTTAATGGTTCTTAAACACTTGCTTGGGGATATTCCATTTTATTCTCAACACTAGCGGCCCAGTGCACAGATTTGTGCACATTGAAAGGAAAATAATTAGAAGGTGGCTGGCAGGGCAGGACTGAGCGAGATGGGTCCAGCCAACCTCCCACATGGGGTGGCTGCAGGGCTTGAAGGGTGTCTGGAATGAGCGAAGTCCCTCCAGCAGGTGGGATCCCTCGGCCTGGCCTGTGGGGAATTGGTCCAAAACTGACAGTCTGACATCCCCCGAGAGGTCCCACAGTGGGCAAGAGGACACTGCAAAGTTGCTGTCGTTTGGCAGCTCCTGCGTTGAGCATCTGCTCCCTGGTGGTCATGGCATGTCATAGCTATCAGCCAACCAGTCAACCAATTGCTTAGGCTTTTATATATAGAGATTCCTCAGGACAGTTGATTTTGTAAGCATGTCAGTCAGTCTACCAAGTCAGAAATCAAGTACCTGGCAAGCACAATTGCTATGCCTCAAATGACAAACTTTACTCAAAAACAGCCTGTTGCCCTGGCTGCTGTGGCTCAGTTGTTTGTATGTCTTCCCATGTACCACAAGATTGCTGGTTCAATTCCAGTCAGGCACACATGGGTTGGGGCACATGCCCAGTGGGGGAAGTAAATGATCTTTCCTGCTGTCACATCATTTCCCTTTCTCCTCCCTAAAAATAAATAGAAATAAAGACAACCTAATATCTTGATATATAAAACTGGTTAAGCCGAAGCCGGTTTGGCTCAGTGGAAGAGCGTTGGTCTGCGGACTGAAAGGTCCCAGGTTCAATTCCGGTCAAGGGCATGTACCTTGGTTGTGGGCACATCCCCTGTAGGGGGTGTGCAAGAGGCAGCTGGCTGATGTTTCTCTCTCATTGACGTTTCTAGCTATCTCTCTCTTCCTCTCTGTTAAAAATCAATAATATATATATATATATGTATGTATATTATATATATATATATATATGTATATTATATATATAATATATATTGTATATTCAATATATATATATACATACACACACACACACACACACACACACACACACACACACACATATATATATATATATATATATATATATATATATATATATATATATATATATATATATAAAATTTTAAAATTTAACTGGTTAAAAGAACCATTGACCAGTTGTCAACATGGCTGAGGATGTCACATTCCTAAGAGATAATAATTAAGCTCGGTAAACAGATCACTCAGGACTCCAGGAGGCAAGGAGATGGAAAATTATGAGTCCCCAGGCAGCACTATTGCCTTGCCATTGTGGAGTGCTGCTTTCTGGCACAATACTGTCACTCATACTCATTTACCACAAATAATTTATCCATTAATTAGAGGCTAAAAATCACAATATTATCACTTGTATTTCATTTGCCTTCTTAAGGGACAAGAAATAAATGGAATTTCAGCCAAGCTATCAGGATTATGAATAACTCAAGTGTCTCTTTTGCTTTTGGTATTTCCAAATGTCATTGCCAAATGGCAAAAAGAGGTGGTAAGCCTCTTGTATTTCAATTAGAACCAGGTATGTTTTGAGACAAGTCTTTGAATATACTTGTGCAGTTTCACCTGTGGGGTTCAAATTAGTCTGATCACTTGAAAAATTTCTTCTTAAATGTATCTTGGTGATTCTGTTTCACTGAATCCTTCTACTCTGCCTTGGCTACAGGCTTTCATGCCTTATCACCAGGTGCTTTCAAAATCCTCTCACCGGGATGTCCTAATTCTGACACAAAACCTAGAAGCCATAAAAGAGGAAATTTAAGAATTCTACCATATAAAAATATCCTGCCATAATAAACAGTGATGAAGTGTGTGTGTATGCTGGTGAGGGAGGCGGGGGGAGGGATGTTAAAACTAGTTCATTGCAAGAATAACAGGCTTCTGTTAACTCCATGGTCAGCAAACTGCAGCTCGCGAGCCACATGCAGCTTTTTGGCCCCTTGAAGTGTGGCTCTTCCACAAAATACCACGGCCTCGGCGAGTCTATTTTGAAGAAGTGGCGTTAGAAGTTCAAGTTTTAAAAATTTGGCTCTCAAAAGAAATTTCAATCATCGTACTATTGGTATTTGGCTCTGTTGACTAATAAGTTTGCCGACCACTGTGTTAACTAGTTAAGAAAAAAAACAAATAGAAAAGTGGTCAATATTCACAGAATACAATGAGCAAAATTCAGATTGTGGAAACTTCTAATCGTTAATCTTAACTGTTCAAAAATAAAGGAAAAAGTAAATGGAAGAGGAAACAAATGGAGTAAAATAGGAAACAAGCACTTGAACTTCACTAAAGAAATTTGAATGGCCCAAAAGCTTATGAGGAAAAAAATGCTCGATTGTCAAGGAAGACAAATGGAAACTACAATGGGGTACCGAATAGTTGGAATTACAGGATGACACCACTAATTGGTGAGGCTAGAGACCTAGTGCAGTGGTCAGCAAACTCATTCATCAACAGAGCCAAATATCAACAGTACGACTGAAATTTCTTTTAAGAGCCAAATTTTTAAAACTTAAACTTCTTCTAACGCTACTTCTTCAAAACAGACTCGCCCAGGACGTGGTATTTTGTGGGAGAGCTACACTCAAGGGGCCAAAGAGCCGCATGTGGCTCACGAGCCAGTTTGCCGACCACGGACCTAGTGGAACTCTCATATTGTTTGTGGGTATGAAAATAGGATGACCACTTTGAAAGAGGTGTGTCAATTTCTAGCAAAACTTAAAATATACCAATCTTTCAACTCAGGATATTCTGCCAAGTACTTACTCAAAAGAAATTAAAACATAGGTCCACAAAAAAGCTTGCACAAGAGGTTCACAGCAACTTTATTTATAATAGCCCAAATGGGAAAGAGCCCATTGTCCACCAGTGGTTCATCTAACACAGAAGTTAAACTGTGGCATGTTCATAGAATACTACTCGGCATTGAAAAGAAACCAAGCTGAAACATATGGATGAAATCTCAAAATCTCGCTGAGGAGAAACTGACACACATACATATACTATATGGTTCCATTTCTATTAAGTTCTAAAATGACCAAACTAATCCATGGTGAAAATCCTAACAAGGAGAAGAGATGGGAGAGGTGCAGAAACTTCCTGATGTGGTGACAACATTCCATGGCTTGCTGGGTGTTTGGGTTACAAGTTGTACATCAAAACTCATCAAGGGTACACTTAACATTTGTTCACTGTAAATTTTACAAGTAAAAACTTTATATGCCCAAAAGCTTAAGAATCAAATATAGATATTTACAAACTTTGACACACATAAAGAAAATAGATCAATGGGTGCACTGATTTAAAAAATATCACTTTATAGTATGATTGAAATTTGGTATCTAAAAATTTCACAGGGCAAAAAGAGGCAAGAGTAGCCATCTGCAATGTGTGGACTATTTAGATTCTGACATTTCAGATAGACATTTTTGGTGATAAAAAGTATTAGTACTTTTAGAAATGATGGTATTTTTAAAGTCCTGTTTAAAGAGATGCACACTGAAATAGACAAATGATACTATGGTTTGGATTTGCTTTAAAATTAATGAAGGTGATTAGTATTAGGGATTGTAAGAGAACAACAGAAAAGGAAATTCAAAAGCCAAACGTGAAATGCTACCTCATAAAAGAATACCATTCCAAGCGTGTGTGCGTGCTTAACCTCTCCGAGTGGCAAAGAGCAGTTGCTAATACACTGTCAGTGAGGCTATGGGCAAATGGGCACTTGCACTGTTAGTGCAAATTAAGAAAAAATATAATTTGATATAAACTTTCTGACCACTTATTCTACAATTTATATATGTACAAAATGACAGATTTATACAAGGCAATTCACTTCAGCATTACAACAGCAAAAGATTGGAAACAATTTATATGTTCATTAGTAAGGGACACAGGTTCGATTGCATACATCCATGGTGTACAATCACTTTTTAAAAATGAGGGAAGCCCTGGACAGTAAGAGCCTCATTCCGTACATCAGGTGGCACGTTCGATTCTCGGTTGGGGTGCATGCAGGAGGCAGCTGATCAATGTCTCTGTCTCTCTCTGTCCTTTCCTCTAAGATTAATAAAAAAAATAAAAATAAAGAGGAAAGATTTAGTATAATGACATCAAATGATCTTTAGGATATATTAAATGAGAAAAGGTGTATAGTATGCTAAAAAGAAATGAAAATGTTTATTATATTTGCTTATCTATACAGTAAATATCACTGGAAGTTTATATTAGAAAGTGATGACAGGGCTGCCAAGGGAAATAGTGGCTGAAGTAGAGGATCAGAGAAAGTACACCCCTTCATATCTCTAGAATATTATTTCCTTCAAAAAATAAAATATAAACAATTTTTAAAATTATCTTGTTTATTTTTCGTATCATCAAGGTTTAAACACCAAATAAAACCTTCTTATATCCCCTTCCTAAAATGAAGAAAAACAGCCCACTGAAAAACTGGGCAAAAGATCTGAACAAACACTTCACTAAAGACAATATGAAGATTCAAATCTATAAAAAGATTCTCAACATCTTAGGACACTATGGAATCACAAAACGAGATACCACTATACAGACGTATTACAATAGCTCAAATTCAAAACACTGAGAACACCAAAGGCGGACAAGGATGCGTTGCTACAGGAGCTGACACTCGCTGCTGGTAGGGATGTAAAATGGTACAGCCAGCAGCCTTGGAAGCGAGGTTAGCATTTCTTATTAAAACTAAAATCTTACCATATGATCCAGCAATCCCACTCCCTGGCATTTACCCAAATGAGTTAAAATATTATGTACACACAGAAACCTACACATGACTGTTTATAGCAACTTTATTCCCTTTGTACAAACTTCAGAGTGTCTTCTAGTCTGAAGCAGGAGGGAAAAGTCCATTCCTACCACGTTTGAGCAATGCTTTCCGAAAGACAGTGGAACTTAGGCCTGCCTCTACTGCTGAAATACCATTCTGCTCTATATGTGTCCTACCAATTGAATATAAACCCTTTTATATTATACCTATAGATTTAGGGGAAACTATGAAAACAAAAGAATGTTTTAAATTGTAAAATGAATAGGATGTAACCCTGAGAAAAATCCCCAAATGACAATTTGCTGAGGGACGGTTTAGGCAGAGAATGCCAATAGGGCATTTGACTAACAAGCAGGGGCCTTGCCTCAAAATGTCATGTAGATGGAAGTGCTTTCTCCTGCTGCTTCCTCCCCACTCTGCAGGTAAATCCAGGCTTCAGAGACTTCCGTTCCATAGCTGCCTGCCTCCTCCCCACCTGGCAGAAGCCACCCTCGCCCAGGCAGAGGGGACAATACTCTGGGTTCTGCTTCATTCTCTGGCATCAGTATCTCAGATCAGATCACAATCTAGCAATTTCCCCCTTGGGATCTACACATAAACCTACACTTTGATGAGCTTCCTTATCAGAGTCCTCTCTTACAGCTCCTTGAGAAGTAGTAGCTAACTATCTAATATAAAGCAGAATATGGGTAACCTGGCCATATCCAATCTGGCAATTTTGATAGTTTTCCCATAAAGATTATAAAGACATAAATAGAAAACCTCTGTCAATATTTCAATAACATCTGATGATAACGCAGTTTTGTCAAATTTTGGGAAAGAGAAATATATCTTTTGATTGGATAGAAATAAAAGATCACTTTTATTCTATCATGTGTTTTTTTACACATGCCTTTTTACACCTGCCTTCTCAGCAAGCATTCATTTAGTAGCCTAAATTATGAGCAATAACTTGCTAAAGGGATGCTAGGAAAAATACATGAATTCGTAAGACTTCCCAAGAATGGCCACCTTTTTACTGAGAGCTCAGCCAATAGTGTGACAGTAAGATACCCACACCACACAACACTTTAAGGCTTTTGCTCTCATTCTTTCCCAGATATGCAAGTGCAATTTATTAGCTCCAAAATAAAGTATTTGCAAATGAATTAATTCTTCACCAACCTCATCCCCAGAAGACCCTACAGATTTTTTTCACAGCAAATTGGATGCCTACTGCTAAAGGGAGAAAGATCACATTCTAGCAGATCATACAGCTAGACACCAGTTTGCACAGCTCAGTACACATATATGAAAACGTATTTCCATTAAGTAGTAATGCGGAAGCTGTTAAACTGGTCAGTCATGTTCTTATTGGATGACAAACACAACTGAAAGTTAATCATGTCTCCTTGTAATAATATACCAGGAACTCGATGTAATAAAAATATATTTGGTTTATCCACACTCCAAAATAAATACTCTTAGGTAATCTGCCTGAACCAAGCTTTCATTTATTAACTATTTACAGTACAGTGATTTTGTATCTTAGCTGGTAATCAAAGATGGTTATGTACTGAGTGAGAGAAGACATAATCTCTCTTCCAAATATCACCTCTCAGAAATCTGGACTAATTTGATTTTAAGATCTAGAATTGCATCTGTTGGTAACTACATAGCAGTAGTGACCCTGAGATCAGGAACAAGGCAAAGAAAGTATACAGGACTTTGATTCTCCTACACAGGTGCACATAAAATTAGTTTATTAATGACTACATTTTCAAACCAGCCATTTTGATCCAATATTTAAATAACAAGCTATTTAGTATGAAAGCAGAATGTACTGCCACAATGTGACAGGAGTACAGCTTTATCCATAAACCCTTCACACAATTATACATTAAATGCTATTTTTATTTAAGCAAGGCACCCCTACTTGTTCTAAATATGGGATGAGCTACCCACTGAAAAAGCAAATGAAGGGACTTAGGTTTTTCCTATCTAGAGCTGGTTTAAATTCGAGGGAAGCCATTAGGTCCTTAAGGACTGTTTTGAGATGTCACTTCACAGTTTTGAGACTAACACCCCTAATGTTTACCCAAAACAAAAAAAGGGGGTCAGGGAACGGGGATGTGTTCAGACATTTGAGACTAAACTTCCCTCCTAAAGCACACAGGCACTATGTTAAACGCCAGTAGCACAAGCTTAGAAAGGCCAAACATTTCTAAAGATGTGACACTGCCAAACAGCCGTCCATTATACTAACCAATGGTAATTATTTTTTTATCTCAAAAAAAAATTTTTTTTTAAACATTCCTACCCCGTAAGTCATCAATACACCTAAAATTATAACTACTCTACCAAACCATAATGATTCAAAGGTCTGAAACCTTTCTTTGCTTTGGTGAGTATTTGGTTAAAATAAATCAGTATTTTAATCCATAGAAAGTTTATATCAGAGCTTTCAAAAAAATCATTTTTAAAATGTGAGGAATATTTTAAAGGACAGTGCTGAATAAAAATATGCAGTCTTTATATTGGATAACATAATCTCTATGAAAACAAATTATTGAATCATAAAATAAAATCCAGATTTATATATCAGATCCTATCATGGACAATTTAAACAAAGTTTAAACTTGTGTTTTATTTAATTCCAAACTGAATCTTTCCTTTTTCTTTCTAAACAGTCCACTATGGAATTTTTCTTAAACAATTAATCCACAACCCCATATCCTTTCTCTAACAATTGCTGCTAAAACACTGGAACTGTATATCCCATATCCAAGAAAGATGTGCAAATGAAATGCTTCTTGCTTCATTCTGAAAATAAAACAAAAAGTACAGCACATTTATTAAAATGAAAAAGTGTTGAACATGTTCCCATATCATTTAGCCAAAACCAGTTTGGCTCAGTGGATAGAGCATGAGCCTGCAGACTGAAAGGTCCCAGGTTCGATTCCTGTCAAGGGCATGTACATTGGTTGCAGGCACATCCCCAGGCACATTGGACCTATGGGGATCGGTGTGCAGGAGGTAGCTGATCGATGTTTCTCTCTCACCACTGTTTCTAACTATCTTTCTCTCTTCCTCTCTGTAAAAAAATCAACAACAACAAAAAAAGGTTTGAGTTTCTGTCAGGCACATACCTAGGATGTGGTTCAATCCTGGGTTAGGGAACTTCAGGGAGGCATAATGATGTTTCTCTCATATTGACATTTCTCTCTCTCTCTCTCTCTCTCTCTCTCTCTCTCTCTCTCAACTTCAGGGAGGCATAATGATGTTTCTCTCATATTGACATTTCTCTCTCTCTCTCTCTCTCTATCTCTCTCAAATCATAAAAACATATCCTTGGGTGAGAATTCAAATATATATATAAAGATTTTATATATATACTAGAGGCCCGGTGCACAACATTCCTGCAATGGATCAGAGATCCCTCAGCCCAGCCTATACCCTCTTGCAGTCCGAGACCCCTCAGGGATCCTTAGCACTGCTTCGGAAACAGGAGGCTCCCACCACCACTGCTGTGCTCACCAGCCATGAGCCCAGCTTCTGGCTGAGCGGTGCTCCCGCAGTGGGAGCACACTGACCACCAGGGGAAAGCTCCTGCGTTGAGCATCTGCCCCTGATGGTCAGTGCATGTCACAGCGACTGGTCATTCCATCAATTTGCATATTAGGATTTTATTATATAGGATGATATGAATGTATACATACACACACACATACACACACACGTATAAAAAGACTTTATAGGAGGGAAAAGAAAAACACCATATAACATTTAGTCAAGAGAAAAGACATCAAAACATATTAAATTTGTCACATGTAAGTTAACCCTACAAAATCATAAACTTCCTAGTATAATCATTTTCATAACATTACTTTAGGAAAAGAAACAGTGGTACATTAAGTGTACATATCACTGGTATACTCTGGTTTCAAATGTATTACTTTAAACATTTTAAAAATATCTTAGAAATGAGGAAATGTGCTCAAAATTTTTATAGGAAAAAAAAATGCAAGCACATTGCCATTGTATTAAGATTTATAGCTACTGAAGGTGAAAAATTATTTTTCAACTCGCAGAATGATGAATGTTGAGAAAAATGCAAAAAGTCTACATACAGGAAAAATACTCAAAGCCTCTATCTATCTATCTATCTATCTATCTATCTATCTATCTATCTATCTTATGCCTAAGCAACCATTCAACCATTTGATCGGTCGCTATGATGCATACTGACCACCAGGTCGGTATCGGACTCCCTCCTGTCTGGATTGGGCCTGTAGGGATCAAGCTCCCTCCTCCCTATCTCAGCCCCCTTCCCCCCCCCCCCCCAGATCTGGCCAGCAGGGATCTGGCCTGTGGGGATAAGGCTCCCTCCTATCTGGATTGGACCTATGGGGATCGGGATGAAACAGGCTCTCCAACATCCCCCAAGGGGTCCCAAACTGCGAGAGGGTGTAGGTCAGGCCAAGGGACTCCACCGGTGCACAAATCCAGGCACTGGGCTTCCAGTCTATATATATAAAAGCCTAAGCGACCGAATGACCAGTCACTATGACACACACTGACCACCAGGGGGCATATGCAGCTGTCCTCCCTGGTGGCCAGTATGCTCCCACAGCCAACCTCCCGCGGCCCCTCCCCTGCCAGCTGGCTGGCCCTAATGACCCTAATAAGGGCCTCCAGCCAACCTCCCATGGGCTCTCCCCCACCACCCAACTCCCACAGCCCAATTGGCCCCTATCACCAGCCAGGCTGAGGGACCTACCCATGCACAAATTCATGCACTGGGCCTCTAATACAATCATAATGAATTCTGTTTCCCAGGAGAATTCCACTCCTTATAGTGATGCTTCAATTATCATGATCAGTTTCATCTTTATTAAAGAGAAAGTTAATTACATATTACAAATTAGTAAGTTAATGATTAATTTATCAATGAAAATAGTTTCCACGATTGGACTTCTTAAGTTTACCTTATTATCTGGAGTCCCTGGAAGTCTTATTTTCCCTTTGGACATGAATTCAGGAACAATTCAATATACCTATGCTCTGAGAATGACAAAAAGAGATTCATTTCAAAAAGCTGAAAAGGCAGAAATATTATATAGCCTTTTTCTCATAGTTCAAACAGCAACTCAAACCCTTTGTCCATTTACTTTCTTACATAAAAATATAAAACCAAATTAAATCCTAATGTTGGATAGAAATATGAAGGATCATTAGCAGACAAAATAATGCTTTTCATTACAATATGTCTCATCCTTTTCACTTTTAATTTAATGGTAATGGCAGAGTACAGTTTCCCCAAGGAAATAGTCTAGGAAAAATCCAAAACAGAAAAAGGCATTTGTATGCAAAGACATGTATGAAAATGACTATGAAAACCATGGCAGCCGGGATCGGTTTGGCTCAGTGGACAGAGCGTTGGCCTGCAGACTGAAAGGTCCCGGGTTCAATACCGGTCTAGGGCATGTACCTTGGTTTAGGGTACATCCCCAATAGGAGGTGTGCAAGAGGCGGCTGATCGATGATTCTCTCTCATCGATGTTTTTAACTCTCTATCCCTCTCTCTCTTCCTCTCTGTAAAAAATCAATAAAAAATATATTTAAAAAAAAACATGGCAGTACTTACGAACATGGGACCGATCCTTGAGCATAGCTGCAACAGCATCCTCATGGGTATCGAAGTGCACATCAGCTTCTCCCGTGGCCTTCCCACTGGAACTGTATTCCATGGTGATTCTAGCAGGCTTCAGTGGAGCAAAAAACTAAACAACAAATGAAGCCAAAAGGAACATAATGGTACTATGTCCAATTTCTAGAAGTCTAGTAGTTCTGCATTTTCCTTTCAGGCTTTGATTCATACACTTTAAATTTTTTTTTTTTTTTTAAGGAAATATCTCCTATCATCCCTTCTGGCTTTTCTGATATTCTTAGAACTCAAAGTTCATTTCAAATATCTGGTCATAGACAACTTATACTATAAATACAATATTATGCAACAAATGGTTCTCGATGTGCTTTATACCAACAAAGAAAACTTTTATTATTCCTCCCACACATATCCTTCCACTTCTAAGGACTATCTGTATATACTATCACATACACTTTATTTCTTAATAATCCAATTGTACCATTTTTTCATCAGGCATGCACCTGATAACCATTTTCTTATCAACACTACCTAACAGAGCTACTACACTGAACAGCTGTCATTCCAAACCAAAGCAACAAAATGTGATGCCTTAATGAGACTGCAACCTTCATTTAGGTGACATTTGATATCTATTAGGCTTCTTGAAATAATAAAGACAACTCTAAGGCTCACTAACTGAAAACTCTAGGTTTGAATCTATCTTAAGTTTATGCCCTCAAGTTCATGAAATCAGTAGGTACTTTGCTGTTTTAGCTTTCCATTTTATATAGTACCTATCATGCAATAAAAATATTCTTAAAATTATTTTTCTCAAAAAAGTTAGGGAATTATAACACCACACGGCTATATGGTCTAACGAAAGCTCCAAGCACTTAGGAGTACTAAATTCTTGTCTAGAACCTAACTGCTCTGTGGCAAGTTCCTCTTGCCACTAAACTAAAAACTGAAGAGATTGAACCAATTTAGAGGAAATCTACTTTCTTTGAATACTAAACCCACATCATACTATTGTGCATAAAAAAAATCCTCTTATCCACCATCCATGTCACCTTAAAATGCAATAAAACCCATACTTCTCAGGTTAAGAGAATAAAACAAGCTTCTACAACCATGGAGAGGTAAATCATACTGTCCACAGATACTCCAGAAATACTGTATCTTCTTCTCTACCTTCCTGAAATTAATAGAAGCTCAACTTAAAAACTTTTATTCTAACCCACTGAGATTAGATCTCTTACTGCCACACACGTTTATGATGTCTTGGGCATTGGCTTGGAAAGGCAATCCTCTCATATGAACAAAATGTAGCGAAGATGTAGTTCCAAAATCACCAGGCTCCGGAAGCTTTTCTGGCATCTCCTTAGGCAATTCTGAAAAGTGGAGCAAAAAGCAGCGTCAAGAGCATAAAAGCTTCAAGAGCTATTAACAGATTACCATTAGGTATGATATTTATGTCAAAATCCTTAATGCCTCTTGAACCAGTAAGGAAGGACTTGAATTTTAAAGCCAAAAAGATCTGAAATTTCTGCCTTTTTAAACACCCATAAGAATTTAGAGCCAAGGGCAACCCTTTTTAAGACCCTTTTCACCTGCCCAGAGCGCTACTCTTCATGTGATAAACTTCGCTTCGCTTAAAAATTTAGTGCCTCAATCCATTACCAGATTTCTTTTTTTTTTTTTTTAATATATTTTATTGATTTTTGTACAGAGAGGAAGGGAGAGAGATAGTTAGAAACATTGAGAGAGAGTCATCAATCAGCTGCCTCTTGCACAACCCCTACTGGGAATATGCCCGCAACCAAGGCACATGCCCTTGACCGGAATCGAACCCGGGTCCTTCAGTCCCCAAGCTGATGCTCAATCCATTGAGCCAAACCGGTTTCAGCTATTACCAGATTTCAAAAGAACAAAATATCACATGTGTCAAACACAAGGCCCGCGGGCCAAATCCGTCCCGCCAGGCCTTGCAATGTGGCCCGCACCGCGCTGTCATCACTGCACTCCGCTGCGTTTCCATCACAATGACAGTTTATGACTGTTCAGTAAACCATTCGGCCCGCGATTTAGGCTGGATTTTAGATTTTGGCCCCTTCTCTGATTGAGTTCGACACCCCTATCCTATATAATAAAAGCCTACTATGCTAAGTGTCCAGTCGACAGGTCAGCTGGTCAACCAATCAAAGTGCAATATGCTAACGATATGCTAATGCTGCTCAACCGCTCACTATGACATGCACTGACCACCAGGGTGCAGACGCTCTAACCAGCAGGTTAGCTTGCTGCTGGGGTCTGGTCGATTGGGACTGAGCAAGATGGGCTAGACATGCTCTGGAGCCTTCCTGAGGTCCCTCCCTGATGGCCAACCTCCCATGTCCCTCCCCAACCCTGATTGTGCACCAGTGGGGTCCCTCTGCCTGGCCTGCGCCCTCTCACAACCTGGGATGTCTTAGAACTGGTTTCAGCCCAATCCCACAGGCCAGGCCAAAGGACCCGACTGGCGCACAAATTCTAGGCCTCTAGTCTTTCTATAATAAGAGAGAGTGGGAAAATTATTATTAATAAAAAAAAATCAAGGAAAGGGTAATTTTCTGGGTAATAAGCACTAAATAAATATAGTAATAGGATAATCCCAGAGCACCAGTTTAAAAAGGATTTAGCAAACTTCAAAATTTCAAATGTTGCTTTGGGTTAGGAATAAAAGAAATAATACAGAGGCAAACAAAATGCCTTTCTTCAGTCAACACTCCTGCTTTCTACTTATATCTTTTCCCACCTTAGTTTAAAAATTGACATTTTACTTCCTAGTTATATTTGTGCCACCAGTTTATCTGATGTAGGATTTACAAAAGTTATTACATTTTAAAGACCTATGAAATAATTAAGTCTTTCTGCATATATTCAAAGTACATACTACGCTCAAAGACATATTAAATCCTTAATTCCCTTCTCCAATAGTCTTAAATTTCATACAAATAGTAAATATATATATATATATATTTTTTTTTTTCCAACAAATATCAAGACATACAAAAGAGACACAATGAGTCTTAACAAGAAGCAGATCCTTACCAATTTCTTTCTCACTTTCATAAGCTGTCATAGGTCGAATGTCTTCATTTACTTCCTGTTCTTCAAAGACCACGTCTGGCTCAGTTACATACTTAGCAGGAGATGCCATTTTCTTTACCTTATTAGAACCAACATGTGTTCGAACTTCATTCCTTCTGCTTGGAAATATCTCTATATATCTATGTCAAAGCAAAACAGAACATCACAAACTGTGCAAAGTAATTTTAAAATGAACTCATTTAAAATAAAACATGCATATATAGTATTTCCAATAGCTTATGAAACACAAGTGTCCAAAGATAACAGGTGATAGTATATTATAAGCCCATGTAAAAATACTCTCAACAGAACAGATCACTGATTTAATCCTCCCCAAGGTAAATTTTCTTAGTATACATTTGAACAACATTCCTACCTCATTTTGCTTCATAAGAACAACTATGCTATAGTTAATTGTGTGTATGCAAAGAATTGATCTGGTAAGAAGAGTTTTGTTTTCCACAGGTGGTTAACAATCTATTGAAGCTTTAAAATTCAATTCTGTGAAAATTAATTATATTCGTGTAAGAGATTAAGTCACAGAAGTTCCTTCAGAACTTCATTAAGAGTTTAATGAGAATTCATGATCATTTAAATGCCAATTCTGATCTGCTTGGCAGTGAAACTCTCTATTAAATCTAAGCTTCTGGATCCAATTTCTTTTTCTCAACACTGCTTTTCCAAATCAGGTTATTAAGCTTGAAGTGTAAAAATCATTTTATATAAAGACCTATAAAGATTAGGTGGGCACCACTCCTTAATTTATTAAGAGCTCTACAATGCCTTAACATCCCCACATAAAGTAATTTTGGTGTGTTCCAAGACACATTATAATATGAAGAGTGTGGAAAGAAATAGGGGAGGGCAGTTGCTTTGCGTACTTTTTTCACTTGAAACAAATTTAATAAAGACCTTTGAACCAATTCTATAAGTAATTCTGAAATACAGTGGCTTTGGATTGGCTTTAGTACTCCTCCAAAATTAAGGTCAAAACATTAAAGAAGCCATCCATCACTCTGTGCATCCTAAGGCGATGTGAAATAGAATACAGAATCATCTACAAGAGTATCCACATCAAAATGTTAACTGAAACAATTCAAGGCTTTAGCTCTAGCTTCCAGTTTCCAGGAGTAATACAGGATACAAAGGAACAAGTTAAATGACACAATGAAGATGCAATAAGATAAAAATAGGACATGAGACACTGTACAGGACAACTGTCCCAATTTCTTCAAAAGTCAGTGACATTTATAAAGGGAGAGGGAATAAAAAAATAAAGAAGGGGATTTGCTCTACTTTAAGAACTGCAGACATAACTGTCAAACACAGTGTGGGTCATGTCTAGACTTTGGTGCCAAAAAAAGCAACTGTAATGATATATTAGGTATAATTAAGATAACTTAATTATGGGTCCACATAAGATAAGTTGCTGGTAATTTTGTTAGATGTGGTAATATTGGGGTAATGCAAGAAAAGTATTTTTTAAATTGATTTTAGAAAGGGGGAGAGAGAAGGGGAGAGAGAGAGAGAAAGAGAGAGGGAGGGAGGGAGGCAGAAAGGGAAGGAGGGAGAGATGCATCTATCTATCAGTTGCCTCTGACACATGCCCCAACCAGGGATGGAACCCATAACCAGGGCATGTGCCCTGACTGGGAATTGAACCCGAGAACTTCTGGTGCACGGAAGGATATTCCAACTGAGCCATCCAGCCAAGGCAAAAAAAAAAAAAAAAAAAAAAAAAAAAAAAAATGTATTTTATAGATGCATACTGAAATAACAAAATATATTTTATAGATGTATACTGATACAGCAAATTACCACATCAATGATTTGTTAATCTACGTGAAAGGCATTTGAAAGCACATCATACTACTCTCTCTCCTTTTCTGTTTAGATCACCTGACATTCATATTACAGTACATTCATCAAAATGGCCAATGTATGGTACTCCTGCATCATTAGTATCTACCTCACTCACCGGTTACCAATTTCTTCCCTGTGTTTCAATAGGGCTTGGCTGGCCATTTCTGGTTCTTCAAACTGCACGTAGGCTTCTCCTGTCTTTCTTCTCCCTCTAAAGTCCATCACAAAAGTAATGTCTACTATATTCAATCCTAGGACACCAAAAAAATCATCAGATTAGTGCTACCAGGAACTTTTTATACTTAAAATCAACTCATCTGAGATCAATTTTGCCAGTCCCAAAACTAGATACCTAATTGAAAGAAAATTATTATGCAGCCAAAACCTAGTAACACCTACACATCTGTATTTCCAGAATGTTAAGGGTCCAAGCAGTTCATGTAAAACACAATTCTCTATCTTTTTTTTTTTTTTGCTATTATGTAATAGGAGAAATAGAGATTTAGACTAACATCACTACTAATGTAACAATGCATATTCTACAGCTGTGAATTCTAATTCATATAAATTGTTAACCTTAATATGGACACTGTTATGAGAAACATTTATGTAATTCATAAATACTGGAAATCCAAATGAAGAGTTCTCCCCTAAAGAACCTAGTATAACTGCATGCAGTTACCTAGGAAAAGGAGACAATGCTGGGAGGGGGAGGGGAAGGGAGAGGGGGAGGAGATATGAGGCTCCAAACATGATAAAGCTGAAAAGCACCTGCAAAGAAGTCTATGATGTCTTTCTCGTTGCAACTATAAGGAAGTCCTCTCAAGCGAACCACACCGTCATTGACCACGGGGGAAGATTTAATCTGCAGGCTCTTCATTAAGGCATCCACATCTTCGTTGTTTATCTCATAGACTGCAAAGCAAATGCACAAAAGACTTATCAAATTTACATAACAAAGGAATATGCCTTTTTTAAAAAAACAAACATATCAAGAATTTTAAAACTAGTAATTTTTTAATCATCATGTACTTCTCTGGAGAAAATGACATGACATTTATTGAATATTTATACGTGCCAGGCATCATTCATTTAAACATCACAATTATGTGAGATACACTTGGTCAACATCTTCATCTTATAGATAAGAAACGAGATAATCTCTGTGCTCTCATTTTTCATACCCTGAAAAAGGGTATAGTCATCATATCTAACTCCTTCACTATTGCTAAGGATCGCGTGAAACTGCCTTGGGGAGTACCAAGTCTTGCGTAAGGATCCCGAAAAGCCGCAGGGTGGCTTCGTACCTTCCACATACCGCTGCCCCATGTACAGGCGGTGCTTCTCTAAGGCTTTATGCACGTCCTGCTCCGACTCCATCTCAATTAAGGCGTCACCTCTTCGTTTGCCATCTCTGTTTAACAGGAAGTGTATTCCGTTCTCACCATTACGGATTCTGCAGTCTAAAAGTAGGTGAATAAAAATCAATTAAAACCAGAAATCAATTGTACAAGCCACTGGAATGCAATCTTCCAACACCAAAACAAAACAAGAACCAAAATGCCTGCCATATTCCTAACACAAGCCCCCATCCCTGAAGCTGTCCAAATGCCAATGAGGTGGTCATCTCTAAAAAGCTCCACGTGAAAAAGATAGTAGAAAACTTTACCACATACGTAAGTTCATGGTCTCCTGATCATTAAATGGAAATTTAAACTAGGCTCAACAACAACAAAAAAGGTATTATATCCTTCTCAATACTTCTATGGTTATGTTTATGCGTAAGTGTCTTCTTTTGTTACAATCACAACCAGAAAAACTCTAAAATATCTCCTATAAGAATAATTTTGCTACCATAATTTAACGTTTCTTCTTTTTTATTACTATGAAAAGACATCCCTTTATTGCATACTTCTTATAATGGGAGCAAGTGGAAGATATAAATGACTTTATAAAATGCTTGACCAAAGAATGCTATACATATTAAAGTACTTGGTATAGGTAACATTATTTTTACAACATTTAAGGTAGCATCTTCTAAAACTCTCTTAAAAGGAAAATTAAGAATCAGTCAGATATAGAAATAAAAAACTAATCACAGATATGTAACCCTCCAAGCGATATTAAGGAAGCTATGCCACGTGACACTAAGTGATCATGTATTTTAAATGTATGTTTTGCATAAAGAGCTTCTCTTAACCCATGTTCCCGATAACATATTTCCACTGGCAGGTTTGGCTTTTTGATCTGTGCATATCAAACTTCAGAAAAAAACTGGTTTTATGTATTAAATCTTAGTCCTAGCATTTAATTTTTTTGTTGTTTTAACATTAAATTTTTTGTTGTAGTCAGTCTTTAAACCTGGTATATAAATAAGTAGTACACATAGTATCACTTGGTATGCACCAGTTGAGACAACTCTCAACCATCAGATAAGATGTTTACAGAATAGATTAACTTAGATTTTATGGAACTATCTTTTGCTCAGACAAAACTAAATATTTAAAACATACCTGAAAAAAAGCTAAGCACATCTTCGACAGTGCATGACCAAGGCAATCCTTGAGCTCGGATCAGATAAACATCATCCACTTCCTCTTCTAACTTGGATGGAGGCAATTCATACTCAGCGGAAGGTGGAAGGTCTTCCAGGTAGGTAGCTTTAGACTCCTTCCAAGGGAAATGAAGAAATATAAGATTTGACAACTTACTTAGAAAATGTTTACTTCTACACACTAGTGCTCGTGATGTTATTTTTAGGGGACAGTTACTATTTCAGAGGCAAGAAGAGTCACGAACCTAACTCATCCTGTTTTGGCTTAAAGGGAACATCCTAACAGTAGGAAGCAGGTATATATCCTAATGGTTTGGCAGGACCCAAATTTCATTCAGGCCCTGTCTTGAAATTCTTCGGTCCCAAATTGCACCCAATAGTGTTTTTGTTAAGGCAGAACTAGAGGGGTCCTTTCAATCTGACAAATATGTGAGTGCCTGCTACTCACCGTGAACCACATTTATGCCCTCATCTCAAAAAGTTTACCATCCGTCAACCTTCAGAGAGAAGGGTGGGAGCAAGGGGGAGAGATCAACCAAAGGACTTGTATGCACCTATATAAACCTAACCAATGTACACAGACACCCAGGGAATGATGGCATGAGTGTGTGTGTGTAAGGGGGGAGAGGGGGGCGCATGCAATGGGAGGATAAGAATGCATATGTAATACCTTAATAAAGAAAAAAAAAGTTTACCATCTACACCCTGGCCAGTTGTTGCTTAGTGGTTAGAGCATGGCCTGCGCACTGAAAGGTCTCAGGTTTGATTCCCAGTCAAGGGCACATACCTGGGCTGAAGGCTCAAACCTGGTCAGAGCTTGAGTGGGAGGTAACCAATTGATATGCCTCTCACATCACTGTCTCTCTTTCTTCCTCTCTCTTTGTCTACCTTCCTCCCTCCCTCCCTTCCATTCTCTCTAAAAAGAAATGGGGGAAAATATCTGTTGGTAAAGATTAACCAAGGGGGGGGAAAAAAAAAAAGTTTTACCATCTACACTAAGATAAGCATACAAGACGAGATGCTTTAATGCTATAATATACATCGTAAGAATTCAAAACCGAGCACTAATAGAAGAAGACATGAGATGGGCCTTGAAGGACAGGCTTCTGACGGATATAAAGGAAAGGGCACTCCAGTTTGAGATGTGAGGGGAGGAAGCAGTATGTAATGAAGCCCATTTGCAAAACAGCAATAACCCCATTTGACTAAACTGTAGGGTCCACTTATGGGCCAAGGAAGATGAGCTGGCAAAAGGAAGTTGGCACCCTTTAGCAGAAGGACTTGAGGGAGTCTCCTTAACCTGGTAGGCAAAGGGGGGTTATGAAAAGGCATTTAGGGGTGGGTAAGTCAACAAGACAGCAGGATGCTTCGAAAGATTCATCTATCAAATGATGTGCCAGACCACCGGAATAAGGAAGAGATCATCAAAGACAACAGCAGTTGTGTGAGCTAACGGGAGCCCGAGAAATATGTAAAAACCTCTACTGCATTGTTACATAGGGGGCAGGGAGTGGAAGAGAGTATGGGAGGATAAATGGTGATGGACAGAGACTTGACTTGGGGTGACGAACAGTGACAGAATGGTGTACCTGAAAGCCTGTATAATTTTGTTTATTGGTGTCACCCCAATAAATTCAATTAAAAAAAAAAAAAGACCCATTTTACAAAACTATGCAAAAGTTGAAATTTAGTAAGATTCCAACAAGCACCATAACTGTCATGGGGAAGACAACTCAAGTTTTTAAGATTTGCACTTTACTGGGCTGAGGAAAGAGTTCCATGAAGACGTGCTGTCTAATTTTATGAGGTCAGGGATAAATGTACCTTCAGCAGAGGTCAAGAATGCAACCAGCACTACAATTAAAGTGTGTCAGCAACTCAAGTGACTTGCACTCGACTGGGCTTAAGAGAGAGTGAGACGCTTCACTCCTTTGTATGTTCCCATCATCTTCCTGAAGACTTACATGTAATTTTAAGAAGTCAATGACAACTGTAAACAGTGTATCATACCAGTAGATATCATTATAGAAAAGAAAAAAAAAAAAAAAAAATATATATATATATATATATATATAGAGAGAGAGAGAGAGAGAGAGAGAGAGAGAGAGAGAGAAGCAAGCTCATAAGGGCTTATTAGAGATAGTGTGTGAGATAGTGTGTGTTTTAATCAAGGTAACATTGCCCAGTTTCCCAGAATTCCATAAGATCACAAGATCATACAGAAAAGGGCAGCAGAAAAGTATTGGGCCTGGATTCAAACGAGTCAATTAGCTCAGCCCCTGGCAGGCAGCAGCCCTGCTGACAAGCCTCCCAAGCTCTGACCAGGTTTGAGCCTTCAGCCCAGGTATGTGCCCTTGACTGGGAATCAAACCTGAGACCTTTCAGTGCGCAGGCCATGCTCTAACCACTAAGACAAACTCGACCTGTCGCATCAGGAGCCAGAGCCTCCAAGAGTGTGGTGCGGTGACATTCCCCAGATGCCACGTAGCGAGCAGAAAGCAAGCTTCCTAACGAGGCACCACCCGGGTGCAATCTGAGTTTCTCCAAGCACACGCCGACTTTTACAAAGAAAACAGTGCAGGCCCAGTTCCTAGATTCCCCCAAAACCGTGGCCTCCGGTCCTAGACGGCCTCTCTCCTCGGCCCCCATTCCCAACATCAGTCTTCAAACTGCCCCTTTGGCAGCGACCCGGGTCCCGAAGGGCCTCCTGTCAGAGGCGCAGGGGTGACCTTCAGTGAGCGGCCGGGGCGCCCGCCTTTCCCGGGGACACACACCCCGGAGGGAGGGAGGGAGGGAGGCTGCGGGCGCGCCTCCTCCTCCCCCGCGAGCGCGGCCCGCGCAGCCGCGGCGCGTGCGCCTCCTCTCCGGCCCCGGGCCGCCCGGGCCGCCCTCCCACCCTCCGCGGGGCCGGGGAGGGCGGAGGGCGGAGGGTGACGGGGACGCGGTGGGTGGGGGCGTCAGCAGCCCCCCCAAACCTACCATGGGCCGGCAGGAAGCAAGGCCTCCGCCTTCACCCCCACAGCCACACTTACACTGCCCCGCAGCCCGAGGCTCGGGAGAACAAAACAGGGAGAAGCCCGAGGCCCGGGACAGCGTCCCTTGTTCCGGGGCCCAATCGGAGGCCGGGCGGCCGGGGCGGGGGCGGGCGCGGCGGGCGGCCGGGGGCACGGGGTAGAGGGGGCACGGGGCCAAGGGCACGGGGGCCGGGGGTAGAGGGGCCGGGGGCACAGGGGCCGGGGAAGGGTCCTCGCGCGCACCCCCCACGCGGCGCCCACGCACCTGGCTGTAGCCCCGCGCCGGGCCCGCGGCGGCCGCCGCCAGCGACTGCGGCGGCAGCAGCGAGGCGCGCAGGGCCGCGTAGGAGGCGGGGGGCGCGGGGGGAAGCCCCGCCAGCCTCCCGGCGGGCCCGGCCCGGAAGCCGCGCGTCTGCGAGGCGGCGGCGGCGGCCCCGGCGGCCCCGAGCAGCAGCAGCAGGCGGCGCCGGCCCGAGACGCCGGACGGGAGGGAGCCGGCGGCCGAGTAGAAGGGCAGGCAGGCGGCGCCGGCGCGCTGGCAGCTGCTGCAGTCGCAGCCGCAGCCCCGGAGCAGCGCCCCGAGCACCCAGCGCGTCCCGGCCATGGACCCCGGCGGCGGCGGCGGCGGCGGCGGGTGCGGCGCGAGCGGAGGGGAAGCGGCGTCCAGGGCCGGGGAGGGGCGCGGGGCACATGCGCCGCGGCCCCGGGGAGCGGCGGGCGGAGGAGGGAGGGCGCGCGGCTCCGCCCCGGCTCCGCCCTCGGGGCGGGGCTGCCGGCGGACCGGGTGGCGGCGGCCCCGGGCTCAGGGCCGCGCGCTGGGCACCACGGTGGGGCTGGATCCCGAGTGGGCCGGGCGCGGGCTCCCCGGTTCTGAGTCCACGGACACCCGGCGCTGTCTCCGCCGAGCGCGTGACGTGACGGGCACAGGCGTTTCTGGAAGGAATTGTGATCACTCTGCTCGTAAAGTGCTGGGGGAAATGCAGGAGGTTTGGTACCCCCACCCTGGAGATATCTGCGGAAGTCCCAACTTTCCTTTAAAATGAGATGGTTGCCTTAGCTGGTTTGGCTCAATGGGTAGAGCATCGGCCTTCTGGACTGAAGGGTCTCGGGTTCCATTCTGGCCAAGGGCACATGCCTGGGTTCCGGGCTCAGTCCCCAGAAGGGGGCGTGCAGGAAGCAGCCAATCAATGATTCTCTTATCAATGATTCTCTTATCAAAATAAAAAATAAATAAAATGAGCCGAAACCGGTTGGGCTCGATGGATACAGCGGCGGCCTGCAGACTGAAAGGTCCCAGGTTCGATTCCGGTCAAGGGCATGTACATTGGTTGCAGGCACATCCCCGGTAGGGGGTGTGCAAGAGGCAGCCGATCGATGATTCTCTCTCATCGATGTTTCTAACGCTCTATCCTTCCTCTTTGTAAAGAATCAATAAAATATATTATTTAAAATAAAATAAATAAAATGAGACTGTTACTTATATGCTGACTATGCATGTATATGACAAAGATAACGCCTCCCTTAATGAATTAGTGTATTCACAAGTAAACAGAAGTTTGCAAAAGAATTGGTTATGCAGTTTTCCTCCTGCAGCCAGGAGCCAGCTCAGATTAACAGGCAAAAGGGAGTTCTGAGAGAAAAGAAAAAAGAAAAAGAAGAAGAAGCTAAAATTTTGAACTTTTTTATTGTAGAAAATCTCAAAGAAAAGTACAATGAAGTTGCCAAATTTCAGGAAATATCAACATTTTTTAAATCTTGCTTCATCTATTCCCACCACCACTACCCAAACATTTTTTTCTTTGCTGGGTCATGTCAATCAATCACCCTTTCAGTATTTATCTTAAACTGATAAGGACTTAAAAAAAAATCTGAATGCGCCCTAACCAGTTTGGCTCAGTGGATAGAGCGTAGGCCTGCGGATTCAAGGGCCCCACGTTTGATTCCGGTCAAGGGCATGTACCTTAGTTGCTGGCACCTATCCAGTAGGGTGTGTACAAGAGGCAGCTGATTGATGCTTCTAACTCTCTATCCATCGCCCTCTCTTAAAAAAATCAATAAAATATGTTTTTTTTAAAAAACCCAAACATGATATTTAAATTAATTGTTTTGAAGTATTCAAGATTATTGTATTGAATATTTAAATAATGGCCTGCTTTTAGGGAAAGGAAAGCAGGGTATTCCCCCACCACAAAAAAAAAAAAAAAAAAAAAAAAAAAAAAAAATTTCCACCAAAAAATAAAAAAGCAAATAACTTGGGGGAAAAATCTGTTGGCTCTGCGGATCTGAAGTATCCAAGAGAAGGAGACTTCCTCATCTGCAAAATTTAGAAATTCTGGAGATTTTTTTTTTTCTTAAATCTTCCTTTCAAGAAGGAAAATAGGTGTTCCTTCCTAACAGATTATCAGTATAAATCATGATTTAGGAATGCTACCCATACTTACTCTTGTCTTCATTTTCTTTAAAAAAAAAAAAAAAATATATATATATATATATATATATATATATATATATATGCCTTTATGACTTCAGAGAGGAAGGGAGAGGGAAAGAAAAACACATCAGTGATGACAGTAATCAGCTGCCTCCTGCATGAAGGGGGATCGAGCCCACGACCCAGGCATATGCTCTGACAGGGAACAGAACCACTGAGCCACAGCAGCCCATAAAATCCTTCCACTAAGGAATAAAATATACCTGCTTAAAATTAATGTGTGACAGACCAGCAAACCCTAAATACTGCAGCATCCTCACTTGTTAAAATTAAAATAGGTCTCTGGGAGAGAGTAGTTGATTGGTTATTTAAATGAAATTGCACTACAAATACATAAGAGGGAAGATTTGAGAGAGTTTTGTTTTGTTTTGTTTTTAAATTTACTTTTAGAGAGAAAGTAAGGGATTGAACGTGCAACCCAGGTATGTGTCCTGATGGTAATCAAACCCACCACCTTTTGGTTGGTATATGGGAAGACACTCTACACCAGCAAGAGGGAGAGATTTTTTTTTTTTTAAACAAGCTAGAATCAACAGGATTTGAAGCCAAGTTAGAGAGGGGGCTGGTGTTTTCTGTTATTGTTACTTGGAGTTGGGAAGAGAGGATGGGGATGACTTTTCATCTCTGGGAAAGTTTATAAATAAATTATATATATATATATATATATATATATATATATATATATATATGCATGCAGAGGAGCACTGACAGGTGTCAGCCTACTCCTCTGAAAAGAATTTCTGAGGTTGAGCTAGTCAAAACCAGTTTGGGGGAGGAGGAGGAGAAGGAAGTTAAAAAACAATAATCTCCCTTCACTAGGAAAGAATGTTGAAAGGAAGCCCTCTTAGATCTAAAGAGCACATTACTGTGACCTGGGAGAGGAGCTGGACGGGGATGGTTGTTCGGACATCTAATAAATAAATTGAGGAACTCTCTTTATTGTCTGTGCCCCCAATTCTTAGAGGTGAACATGCTTTTCTTCTGATATGCAATGAGGCTAAGTTCATCTCAAAGGGTTCCATTCCACAGCCTTCTTTGCATTTGAAAGAAACAAACAACAACAAAAAAATCATGAACATGGATGTCAATAAGCCCAGGGTGGCAAAGGAAAAGGAAAAGGAATTGAAGTCAAGTACCATAAAGAAATGCTGCCCGTTTGTGTAACCTGTGATTACGATGCTATTCATCATCCAAGATTAAAGGAAGAAGTTTATTACATTGAGTGGAGAGAGATACAAGAGAATTTCAACAATTGGAGCTACCAGTTACTTCCAAGGGAGCACAAAGAGGCGCATTTTATCACCACTATCACTACTTCATTCTTTTATCTGGCAGCGAAAGCTGATCCACTGGAGCCACACATTTGTGATGTGTTTCTTAGGTTAGTTTTATCCATTGGCCTGTATTCACTATTAACTAGTCCATGCTAGCCAATTTTTATGTCTCTCCGATAGGATGCATTTGGAAAATCCTTCCATGAAGGAATAAAATATACCTGTTTACAATCAACGTGTGACAGACCAACAAACCTAAATACTGCAGCATCCTCACTTGTTAAAATAGGTCTCTGGGAAAGAATAGTTGATTGGTTATTTAAATGAAATAGGACTATAAATACATAGAATGAAACCTTGCAGATTATAATCAGAAGTAACACCTAAGTATTAAAACTAAAAGTTGTCTTTTAAATTAATGTATAATTGAGAATTTTATATTAGTTTCAGGTGACTCAATGTTTATATGCAATGCCTACCATGATAATATCACCATGATAAAACCTAGTAACTGTCACCACACAAAGTTAAAAAGTGGACAGCTTTGCCCTAACCAGTTTGGTTCAATGGATAGAGCCTCAGCCTGTGGACTGAAGGGTCCCGGGTTCCATTCAGGTTAAGGGCACATGCCCTAGTTGTGGGCTTGATCCCCCCTGGGGGACATGCAGGAGGCAACCAATCAATGATTCTCATAACTGATGTTTCTATTCCTCTCTCTCCCTTCCTCTCTGAAATCAATAATATATATGTGCATATACTATATATACAACTGCAGTTTAAAACAAAAAAAAAGTGGACAGCTTTAATTTTTACTGTCAAGAAATAGTAATTTAAATAAAAGGATTATTTTAAATTAATGCCTATTTTTCCCCCCATGGCAAAACAATAGGAACAAGACTGGAAATGTGAGCTATATTCCTGAGGGAATTCTCAGAACACATTATCAACACAATTACTGTAAGGAACGGATTTCCTCCAGATAGATGAGGCAGTCACAAGATTGAACTCTGTGGGTGTTGACTCAGGTTTACTGTGTAAAGCTCACGTTTAGAAAGTGGGATGGTGGGCCATGGCACCCTCTGGCATATTTACAAAAATACGGTGGTAGTGCTTTTTACTAGTCGGATGCTGAGCTCTCCTCCATCAACTAGCGTTTCCTCTGAGGGCCAAAGCTAGGGTGCAGCCAGAGAGCAAGGCGCTGAGCATCACCTGACACAGAATTGGAAAGACCAAGAAATCTTTGCAAGCATCATTATTAACAATCATCTCCTTAAAATACATGAATATGGTTTTATTTAAAAGCCATGAGAGATTTCACACACATATGCACATGTATTGTGCACAAACACATACAGTAAGGTTTGCCTCTACCCACTGTCCTCTGACCTTCCATTTCTCCAAGATTGATAGTAACCAGTTTCTTGTGTATCCTCTAAGTCTTAGAAACACTGGCAGTGTTTCTCAAACTTTTGACATACGTGTACCCCTTCTATAATTTTTGTAACGCTGAAGACCCCTTATACTCATGAGAAAGTAGAATTAGGCGCAGCTAAGCACGGTGCAGTGCATATCCCCACCAAACTCCGGTGCAACGTGTACCCCCACCAAACTCTTCCCGTACCCCTGGGGGTACGCGTACCACACTTTGGGAAACACTGCTCTGTTCAGTGTTTCATCACTTTTAAATTTGGTAATTCTCCTGTCCTTGGAATTTTGACAAGTTTTCCACCTGCTATCAAAGGGTGTTCTGAAGCCAGCACGTTTATAAATTGGGAGCAAAAGGAAAAGGAAGCATAACAGACAAATGAGATCCTGTGTCACAAGAAACAAAGGATACCGGAGGAAAAAAGTGTGGAAGGAAAAGGTAAGTTTGCTATATTTGGGAGAATAATTTTCTATTTAACAACATAGCTTAAATAGGAAAAAT